AACCTGTGGACCCCGGCCACAACCGGCATCGCCGACGTCATGTCGCCACCGACGCAGCAGGCTCATGGCGTGAGTGCCGTGCTCAGCCTGTCGTCTCGCGAGACGCCGCCGGTCACGGTGGCTTCCATCGCCGGCGACGAAGGGAGGTACCACCTTGGGTCGACGACCGCGGCGTCGCAGGGGCAGGTGGTGATGAACTCCAAGTACCTCAGGGCGGCGCAGGAGCTGCTCGACGAGGTGGTGAGCGTGAGCAAGGGCGTGGACGACGTGGACCCCAAGGCGAAGAGCGCTGTGTCGGTCAAGAAGAAGGAGGATTCGGAAGGCCTTTCCGGCGGCGGCGGGGAGGAAGGCGCCAGCGGGGCCAAGGGCGGCGCGCCAGCGCCCGAGATGTCGACGGCGGAGCGGCAGGAGCTGCAGATGAAGAAAGGCAAACTGGTTAACATGCTTGACGAGGTCAGTAATTAACCTAAGTACACTCTAATTAATTACTTTTGATTCTAACTTTTAATGTTAAGAAATGTCCTGCTTTATACCAATATATATTTTTACCATGAATTCATAGAGAATTAATCTCTCAGTTTTCCCCGAAAATATCTCCATTTTTTGCTTAGGAATTGTAGATATTTTTTCCTCTGGAAAACAAGGGATATTTGATAAATTAACCTGACGATTTTTGTAGTGTGTGAACATTCAACATTGCCCTCTGAATATGGCAGTGTTAGATTGATGATGTTTCTGATATTTCCTTGCCTCTATAATTTGAGAAAGTGTTATTGAAAGTATATGGGTCATTTGCTTTTCAGCTATGTTTGTTTTGTTGCTTCTTTTTCTGAAGTGAGTGACACACAGTTGTTGGGGTAGCCAAGCAGGCCTTTGATTTGCTGGATATTCCTCCTCCCTTTTTCCTTTTCTCAATAACACATGTTTTGTCAGCTTGCACCAACTATATATTCTCTTCGAGTTTTTTTATCGATATAAACACTGACCAGTATTGTCTTTTAGAAAGCAGAATTACAGCTACAGTTAATTAAAGGACAACTATTATTAAGTTAGAAATTTACAAATCAGCTCTGGTAGTAATTAAATAAACGAAAATTATTTGTGAATGTGTGATAGCTATTATAAAAGTGACAAGTCTAGCTAGTCTTTAAAACCAACAAGTGGCTATAGTCTTCTATTTTCTTCTAGAGAAGAAAGTAACAAGCTAGCTAGTGGCCAAGTATATATCTTGGTGATATTGTTAACAAATACTTTGAGATAGGAAAAAGCACTCATGCACCTATAAATTACAATTCTTTCATGGTGTTGTTTGTTGAGGCCAGTACAAGCCACCTTTAACTTTGTTGCCTGATCAAATATGTGTCTCTTTTTGTGTTCTCTCAATAGCTTAATTAATAGTTTAATACTACAAGTATATGCTATCAGTACAGAAGGTAGATAGGCCCTGCTTGTCCTAGCTGGTGCTAGCTTCTTCACAAGCCAGCAAAGCCAGTTTGGCAGCCCGGGTTTCCCTCATGCATTGAGCTTTTCTTCTTCTATTCTTTTTAGGGAGCTTTAGTTTGTGGTTTCTCCATATAAACAAGAAATGCAGTGAAGCATGCTTTTGCTAAAATCCACTTGATTCTCTCAAATCTGACAAGACAATTAATCGTGTTTATGATAAACACAATCCAAAGTACTAGAGAGTGGTTGTGGTGGTTAACACTAGTAATCAACCCACTAATTAATACACGAGCTAATCTCTGTACTGGGATCTAATGTGGCTTGCGATGGCATGGCATGATCAGGTGGAGCAGCGGTACCGGCAGTACCACCAGCAGATGGCGTCGGTGTCGTCGTCGTTCGAGGCGGTGGCCGGTGCCGGGTCGGCGCGGACGTACACGGCGCTGGCGCTGCGCACCATCTCGCGGCAGTTCCGCTGCCTCCGCGACGCCATCGCCTCCCAGGTGCGCGCCGCCAGCCGCGCCCTGGGCGAGGACTGCGACGCCGAGGGGCTCGGTGGCGGGCTCGGCGGAGGGCCCGGCGTCGGGTCCCGGCTCCGGTACATCGACCACCAGCTCCGGCAGCAGCGCGCGCTGCAGCAGCTGGGCATGATGCAGAGCAGCGCGTGGCGCCCCCAGCGGGGCCTCCCCGAGCGCTCCGTCTCCATCCTCCGTGCATGGCTCTTCGAGCACTTCCTCCATCCGTAAGTTGTTCACCACCATGCTAACTTTACCGCCATTTTCTTGTTGCCATGCATGCATGCACTGCATTGCTTGAATTGTTTGGAAGGTTTTGCATCCTGCACATGCAACCTAGCTAGGTGTATTGTACAGGTGAACTCCGTCGGTAACTGAACTACAGTAATAATTAATCATGCATTTCTCTCTCTGTCACCGACGTGGTACAGATAGAGTGCGAAATGATGACGCGGTACTTGCATGAGAGAGACATAGACATAGCACGAGATACGACACACACACACACACACAATGCTCATGATGCGTTTTGCATGCAAACATGCACGCATGGCACCTCCATTCGTACGTGCACGCCCAAAACCGGCGGGTACGTACGTACTCAGCGCCCTCGTGTTGCACTCCCATTGGTTGATCGGATCGCCCTCTCATCATGCAGATACCCCAAGGATTCGGACAAGATCATGCTCGCCAAGCAGACCGGCCTCACCAGGAGCCAGGTACAAAAAAATCTCAACCATCCTTCTTCAGTTTGATCCAGTTGCAACATATTGTTGTTTTTTACTGTTACCGCGGCTTGGTTTGATCCGTGCGAGTTTTTGTAAAACGAATTATTAGGTGTCGAACTGGTTCATCAACGCGAGGGTGAGGCTGTGGAAGCCGATGGTGGAGGAGATGTACCTCGAGGAGACCAAGGAGCATCAGCAGCAGCAGGACGGCGGCGACGACAAGGGGAGGCCGTCTGGGTCCGGCCCCGCCGGAGGAAAGAGCAGCAGCAACGCGGACGGCGTGGACGACGGCACTCCGAGGTCCATGGCCAGAGCGGCGGCGGGAGCCGGGACGTCGGAGGGCGGCGGCGCCGTCCAGGCGTCCTTGCTCGAGCTCGCCGGAGAGCACCAGGCGCACGCGGGGTTCTACGACGAGGAGGGTGAGGATGGCGGGTTACGGCGCGGCTTCAAGAAGGCGAGGGCGGCCGACCTCGAGCAGCAACCGCCGGCGGCGTTCGACTTCGGCGCGTTGCACCACGCGCAGGCAGCCGCGGCCGCCGCAGCGAGGCAGCAGCACGACGAGGTGAGCCACCGGGAGCTGCTCATGAAGTTCATGGAGAGCGGCGGCGCGGCAGGCGCGAGGGACCACCACCACCAACACCAACACGACGAGGACGGGGCCGGCGGCGGGTACTCTCTGTTCGCGCCGGGGCCGTACGGGCAGTTCGGCACCGACCAGTCGTTCGCGTTCCCCGGGGCCGGGCAGCACGGCGGCGTCTCGCTCACGCTCGGCCTCCCCCACGGGGCCGGCGATCAGACGGCGTTCCTCATGGGCGGCGGCAGCAGCAACGGCGCCGACAGCGGCGGCAGCAGCGCTGCCGGCTACGACATGAACATGCAGACCACCAAGTCCTTCGCGGCTCAGCTCATGAGAGACTTCGTGGCATAGTATGAATGCATCATGCATGATATACCACTATTACATAGCGCAATCCATTAATGAAATCCCAAAAAAATCGATTAATCAAACAATTTAGGGCTTGTATAGAAATAAAAGGGTAAACGCCTAGGCATGGTTAGGCTGCCATTAATCCTAAGCCTCTCTAGGTCATTGGGGTGTAATTATGTAAAGATGGGGACATTGTATATAGGTACTAGTAGTATAGGTTAGGTAGTTAAAACCCAAACATTTCCGGTTACAAGATTTTATAGGGCAATAGGGGGATGGGGGGTATACGATACGTGAAGGGGTATATATATATGTAAAACATTGGAATTGGGGATCTTGGAAGTGTATTGCGGTATAGTTGGTTTATTGGAGATTTGAGTATTGTTTTTGGATACTGTACTGCAATGTAATGTTAGTTATTGTAGTACTTCTCTTCACTACTTTGTTCCAGTTCCATGGATGAAGAGAGGAGATGCATGAGATGGCATATCGTGTTACCTTTAGCAACCAAAACTCATTGGTGTACCATGTTCATGTGATTTTCTTTCTCTTCTACATAAAACAGTTCATTTCTCGCAGGACAAAAGAAAAGAAAAACCCTCTGCTCCAAACAGGTACAACCTCCATTCGGAAATAAGTGACCCTGTTTTAGTTCAAAATCAGCGTCACTTATTTTCGAATGGAGGGAGTACAAGATAATGCAGGTGATTACCTTCTTGGTCATGAACAAGACAAGATGATGGCAGACGGTAATAGAAGGATCATTTCAAAAAAAAAAGACGGTAATAGAAGGAACAATCATTAGTCTTGGTTGACAGAGAGGTCATTGGAGAATTGCTGGACAACACACCAAACCCAAAAATGTTGATAGGCAACAAACATTCAATGTCACAGAAATCTGATCACACAGCAAAATGCAGCTTCTCCCAGGTCACTGCAAGGAACCACTGGATCACATGCTAACAGTTCTATTTCTAGTTTGAAGAAGACTTACAAAGGGTTGGCTTTCCAGTTATCAACGCTACACAAATCAACTAAGGAATCTCCGTTCGGTACAAAATCCACTAATGTACGGCAAAAGTAACAAGCAAAACTAAGATTGTACAAGCAATGGCACTGCCTAACTGATCATTAGCTGAATCAATAGTCCCGTCTTCGATGCATTTCACGTTAAGACTTTCTGCGGCTCGAGGGAGATGAAGGTGCACATTTGCGCAGCAAGGCGCCACTGGAAAGCAAGTGGCGCATTGGCAAACTGGCAATGCTAGTCATGGCAAAAGTGCGCAGATGCAGAATCTGAAGTGTTTTAACTCTGGTCCCACGCTGAACTGCTGCTCTTAGCACTTAAATGTTGATTGGCCAGAGGCTGAGGGCTCTCTCTAGTTGTCACTGGATACCACCTGTTGCCGGGATGACAGGTTGGCGAACCAAACCAAGAGGCATGTTCACACTGTTGGGATTCTCTGCTGCTCCGCTGCCATCACAGTTGGGTTCCAATAACCGTACAAGCGACAGAAAGATCTCCATTCTGGTTACGTCCCTGTTTGCCTGTATGAACATTGAACAATTGAACATACACAATCAGTGTTATTCCTCGACTCCAACCAGCAAGTTAAAACATAAGCAGGGATTTAAAGCGATAGAAATCCATTCAACAGGTGTTATCACAAAAATCAGCAGAAGCATTCCATAGCTCTAATGATGTGATGACCTTTTTTTTTCAGAATTTAACTATATTACCTCAACGGTAAAGCGTGCCCAGATTTTACTTTTACGTGCTTCCATTACACCCCTCAGGATGGTCAACCCAAGTCCTTTGATGAAATCAGCTATCTCCAAGAAGATGCCTCTATCCTCACAAATCATCTGCAGGGAACCCCATGATGTCAACACATCTAAACGGCAACTACATGCGATTGTCGGTAAACAATGAGACTGCAAAAAACAAGCGACAGCAGCATCCTGAACAATTACCTCCACAAGCATCTGACGTGGTCTGTCAAGATCCTCAACGATGATTGGACATGTCATAGACTGAGAGCCAACATCAAAGGCCCAGGTTGCACCGCCTTCAAAGTAGTCTTTCCACACAGGACCGTTCTCACTGCCAAGTATCTGTATGAATACTCAACAACATAAGGACATCTTTCAATCTAACGAGTTACAAACTGTGCAACTCAACCACAACAGACCAGCTTTCTTTCTATATAACCAAACAATAAAACTTATAGGCATGCGCATACCTTAGATTCAGTAGAATCCTTGAGCTTGTCTGCATGCTTTGTAACGCTTTGCAAGAAGAGCATGTGCTTAACTGTCTTCTCCAACAAAGCATCAATGCTGCACTGCTGACACAAATGAGATAACATTGATATGACAACAATGCAACTGCTCTGGAGTTCACGTGTGCAACTCAAAGTACAAATTTTCATAATAGATTAAAATCAGCAGGTCTACAAGAGGATACCTTAGCTCCATTAGGCACCATTTCTCGGAGCTCCTTTATACGATCCTGTATCAGCTGCCGATCCTTTGGCCGTGCCTTAGAACTCTCTCCAGGTCGAGATCTCTTTCGATTTGACTTGCTTTGTGTATCAAGACCTTTGCTGTTAGAAGCTGATGCACTTTCACATTTCATGTTCTGACCATTCTCAATCCAAAGACGTATCTGAGATTTCTGTGCTCCATTATTTTGGGAAAGACAACCATCTTCAGTCTTATCGAAGTAATATGGTTGTTTAACAATCTGTGTGGACTCATTCTTGATTACCGTTGAAGGAATGCCAGAGGAGTCACATTGCTTTAACTCTTCCAAACCAAAATGAGAAATGTTTGGAATGTCAGTCAATGCAGTCTTGCAAGAAGCATTGTCATCAGAACTCTGCTTACTGCTGGGGTTGACATTTGAGATGACAGCATCCAGTAATTGATCAGTATCAGTTAGTGAGAAGATCCCGGAACAGGGAAAGTCATTGTCTAGTGAACTGAAGAGTGAAGAAGAATCAAGACAAATCGAGGGTTCAGTTGCCTCTCTGTCTAAACTATGAGATTTTGCATCACAGGAGGACACCAAATTAGCATCCACATTATGACCCAACTGATGAAATTCAGAACCAAATATATCAAACAAGTCATTATCCCATGTTGGCTGCAAAAGCAAAGAGTGAGTTGTCTCACTGGGCATAGCTGGCAGCATGCAACCATCCATATTCTTCACACCTTGTGTGCTCACAGCAACACGTGGATCATTTGCTCTATCGGCATTTTGATCTTTCTGCATATGACCTGACCTACTCAATAGATTCTCCTGGGACATGCCATTCAAGCAATTAGAAACCTGAACATCAGATTGAGAAGATACAGGCAGAGCACCTTCAGATGACCTTCTTTCTTGGTGCACCATTTTCATGGTGAATTCAGAAGATTGGGGAACATTACAAGAAACTGGAGGTTGCTTCTGCCGTAACATTCCTGAACTGGAATGGCTTCCTTGTTCTGATACTTGACTTGATGTACATAAGGTAGTACTGACTACTCCGGCACTTCCAGGGAGGAAACCATAACTCCCATGACCAGCAGTCCCTTGGGGTAGGCCAACTCTTCCATGTGACAGCTTCATGTCACTAGTTTCATGCATAAAAGGATTTCGGTATAAAAGTGATTTTAGCAGTGCACTCCGTGCCAAATCTGTACCGCTACCAAATTCTAACTGTCCAATGGTGTTCATCAGCATTTGCTGTTGCTCCACTGATGCCAAGCTCGATGGGACCAAACCAGAGCTTATTTCAGCACTCTGTGTATTACTTCCAAGTCGATTATCACAATAAGACGCTTGTTGTACAAACATATCGTTAGGCTTGCCATAGACAATATGCTCTCTACCAGTTAGACCATTCTGTTGTGCAGCCTCAAACAAAGATGCATTTAGTGATTTGCTACTTGATGCAGTTGCGCTATCAGATCGTCTGTATTGTTCACGTATCACTGGGAATTGACTGAAGGAATTGTCTGCAGCTTGGATGTTTGAGGCACCATGCAGAGGACGCGACTGATTCGAAGTACTTTTTACTGAAGCAGATGAAGCCATACTTGATCGCTGGTTCAGCTGAGAGCACAATTTCTTTGCATGCATCACAAAACTTGTGTTCTCCATAACCTGCTGAATCCAGAAATGATAGGTTATTAACTCAAATATATGGAGAATACAAATTCTAGCGAAGCCAAAGTGATGAACTGAGATACCATGATGAAACCCAACCATTTGATAAAAGACATGTACTATATTGGAAAAACTGATTACATGCCAACATTTCTAGATATTCTGTTGCAAGAGAGAACATTCTGATTACACCACTGATGAACATATAGAGGTATGTTCTAGCCACCCTTTAGCAGCATACATCAAAAGAAGCCATGAGTTTGCATTCTGATGGCACGTAAAAAATTCCAAGCATCATTGTTATTTAAAACTCCAATACTATCCGGCACAGGAGTACAATATTTAGCATGATGTGATGGTTATATTCTTTCAAAAGAGATCTAGATATGAGATATTGTACCATAGTCAACAGCATGACATACTGATGTTAGTATGTTATACCACACAGCTAACTCGAAACAGTTAAAAACTTCAGACAAACTGGGCATATATCCTATAATACGATATAGGGAACACAATCTCTCTACACTTCTAGCATGCATTTGAAGTTTGGATATCATACCACACCAGTAGAGCCTAATTGTAGCACGCCGCGTGGTAGCACAGGAATAATCGCAATAGTCTGCAGAACAAGAAACTTCATTGAGTTCCAGAAGCAAGCAAGGGTCAAATAATTTACCATTCACAATGTTCAATTCCACTCACCTTAATGCCAGCTCTGAACTGATAATGCATCTCAGAAGCAACCTATCATGGTGAGACTAGCGTAAGATCTCCAAAACAAAACAATCAAACAACAAGTATAACAAAGATAACTAATAGATCCCCATGCTAGTATTAGCATTATGGTGCACTCAAGGCAAATCAAAGTAGATTCACATGTATTCTTTTGCATGTGACAGACACATGTAAATGTTCATTTACAGCTACCGTATCCCTGTTTCACTTATTTTCCAGTATGATGCTAGTCCAAAACCAAAGCAGGCCACTGAGTTCCAAAAGCTCGAACAGAAGGTCCCCCCACAAGACTTATTACATGGATATAAATTCCCTGACCCGATGCTTTAAATGGTGGCCCGGCAAAAATTGAACCAGAGAAAACGGAAATCGGTTAGCACTTGTACCATTTGAGAAGAAAGCAAGTACTACCTCGGATGAGAGCCCGTGATCATCCGCAGTACCATGGATGATCCATTGATGACTGCCAGTGAAGGCAACACGGCCGACGGTCCTGAAAGCCACAAACGCAGCAGCCATTATTAATCGAAATAGCAACCAGCAAACAAACCCGGAGGGATGCATTTGTCTCATTTGCATCAACCAATGAGGAATGGTGGAGGAATCATGAAACTGCATCTGACCAAAACATGGAAAAACAGGGATGAAGAAAAGAAATATGGCATCGCTATGCTTTGCTTACCCTTCTCCAACGACATGAACCTGCTCGGCCATGTCCTTCCGAACGAGTGAGCAAATGCTGTCAACAGCAGCAGAACACCCGAGCTCAGCGGCCCGAGCTTGAGAAGCCTCAGATCCGGCGGGGCATGGCGTGTGGCCGCAGTAGCCGTCCTCCCACACCAAATGCCTGCACATATCCAAGGTGAAAAATGCAGGTAAGAAAACCACTAATAAGAGGGGCCAAATTCCTGAAGCTGCAGGTACAATAGGAAGCCAAGTTCAGGGGACGAAAATTGCAAGATAAACACACACACACACACACTCCTTATAAGTGCCAATCCATCAGTTCCGAGCTCAAACACTCCATTGCTAACGAAATGATGAGGAGCACTAGTAGCTACTTGAATCTTCCGGTGTCAAACTAGCACACGGAATCCCGAGACTGACAAGGCAGGGAACAGAAGAAACAGCACAGAATGTCGAGATGCAAGTGGAGGAGGAAACAGAGGAGGCAGCTTACACGGGGTCGGCGGCGCCGATGGCCTTCCAGAAGACGGCGTAGGACCAGCCGATCTCCTCGCAGAGGCGCCGCAGCGCGTCCCCGACCGCCATCCGCGCCACGAGTCAGAGTCAGTCAGACGGCACCTTGTAGAGGACGGACAAGGAAAACCCTAGCACGCCGGCTGCAGAGGCCCGCCGCCGCCGGCGCGAGGACGAGAGGAGAGAAGCAGGAGGTGGGTGAGCGAGCGAGCGAGTGCGAGAGGTAGCAGCAGCAGAGTGAATGAACGGTATCTTAGGCGCCGCGGCAGCCGGCCCGGCCGGCCTGCTTCGCGCGGAGACCGCCGCCGCCCCTCCTCACCGCCGCCGCCGCCGGAGCGCCGCCTCCCCTCCTCCTCCGCGCCGCCAGCGCGAGGGCAACCATCGAGCCGTGACGTCGCGCGGCGCGCTGGAGGAGCCCAGCTGTCAGTGCGGCTCCTCGGCCTCGGGTAGACGACGAGATCGGCTTTGTCCGCTAGCTGCCTGCCTGCTGCTGCGCCCTCCCCTTCACACTGTGTGCGCCCGCGAGCGGCTGCGAGAAGAGTAGTCCTCTCTCTCTCTCTCTCTCTCTCTCTCTGGTCTCTCTCTGGCTTTGGTGCTCTCTTGTGCTCTGCCGCCTGCTTTGTTTACCACCATCATCTTTTCCATCTTTTTACACCCTTGGCGGCTCCGCTCCCGAGGCGAGGTGGCCACCATTCCCTCCCTCCCTCCCTCACTCCCTGCACTGCACTGCACTGGACACAGAGGTGGAGGGTAAACTAGGGCCCTGTTTGGATCCTAGAGTTAGTGTTAGTTTGAGTTGTTTTGGGCTCAAATAGCTCAAAAGGATCCAAACAGATAGGGTTAGTTTCAGCTAGTTGCCTCTAACCCACGTAAAAAAAGTATCCCGGTGGAGAGGTGCTAGTTGGGCTAGTTTTTCCGGGGCCCACAAAAAGAATAACTAAAAAAATCACCCTCCCACACCAGATCCCTTCGTCCCGCACCAGATCCCTCGCTCCCTCCCGCATCCCCTCGCGCGACGCCTCTCGTTCCCCACCGCGCCGCCCATCCAAGCGCCGCGCCGCCGGCCCAGGCGCCGCGCTGCCCGCCCAAGCCGCGATCTCTTCCGGATGGCGTTCGCCCTCCTCCGGTCGCCGCTCGCCCTCCCCGTCCGAACCTCGCCCGGCTCCCGGTCGTCTCTCTCTCTCTCTTGTGCGCGGAGGCGGCGCATCAACCAGGGATCCAACGAGAGGTGAGTCCTTCCGTTCCTTCTGTACTCGTGCTCTCCCTCCTCCTACGCGTCCGTCTGTGCAGCAAGTCAGCAAGAGTAGTCCATAGCTAGATTTGTTGGCGGAACTTCTGATTAGTTAGCGTGAGCAATGGCGTGGCTGGATCCTTCTGTTTAGTTAGCTAGTGAGTTGCAGATGTTCAGCCCCCTCTCTTGTTGCAGATGTTTGTGCAAATTTAGAGCATTAAGAAACAAAGAGCTGATCTATAAATAATTTGATATGCACTAGCTGTGATTTGAGCATTAAGAAACAAAGAGTTGTGATTTGTAAATACTTATAAAGAGCTGATCTATAAATAATTATAAAGAGCTGATCTATGAATACTTATAAAGAGTTGCAGATGTTCAGGATCTATATTGAGAAACAACTCAATACTTATAAAGAGCTGATCTATGAATACTTATAAAGAGCTGCAGATGTTCAGGAACTTACACAAAATATTATTTAATCAACTCAATACTTCATCATTAAATTATATTTTGGTACAATTTCATTTTTGTTATGCACTAGCTGTTATAAATAATCAAAGTTAGAAATGTATCTCATAAGTTAACATGGACAAGATTACTTATTCCGGAGAAGAGCATAACTGCATGTGCAGTGTTGAGTTCGGCTTGCTTGTAGCACTTCCTGGATGCGCTACTGATTCTTCTCTTCTGGTACAGGTAGTATAGCTTGGAGCAGAGCACCAACGATGGACGGAGACGGCTTCGATGTGTGGGGTTCGCAGCCGTCGGCAAGCGGCCCCGCTCCCCATGAAAATAAAATTTATCATGTTTTGGACCGTTCATTTGTAAAGATCATTTGTTATGTCAATTGTGAGTGGGAGGAGGCCACATAAAAGTCGGCCACACCAAAAATCCCGCAGGAAATAGGGTCCAAAGTAGCCAAATAATTGAGAAAGAATATTTATTGTCAATCTAACCCTGCCATCCAAACATCTCTTTGGTTAGAGTTAGTCAGAGTTAGTTCAAAGGTTAGAATCTAACTCTAGCCTCTAACTGAGTTAGAGTATCCAAACAGGGCCTAGGAATTCATTCGTCCCGACCGCATCACGGCTCCACCATTCCCTATTCGTCCAGGCTGGCCTCCGCTCCCCGTCTTTTCATGTAAACCTGCCGGCCTAATTTGGTTCCCTTCATCCCCCGCTCCCCTCCCGCCGCCGCCGTCCCTCCCGCCGCCGCCGGCCGTCGGCCCCGCCCCCCGCCTCCGCCCCCCTTCCGCCCCCCCCTCCTCCGTCTAGGCCGCCTCGCGCCGCCTCCCCGGGAGGTGGTCGGGGCGGAGCTCGCGCCCCTCGCCCGCAGGTCCCCTCCTTCCACATCTCCCCCCGCCGCCGTCGGCAGGCGCCCCCGGCGCTGGCCCGGGTGGTGCCGGCGGCGGCGGGCCTTCCAG